TTGAGCACTAAATTCAAGCATGTGAAATAAGAACAAAAAATTTTTATATAAATAACAAAAAATAACAAATAGGATGTATAATAGATATGAGTACTAAACCAATATACAAAAAAAAAAATGAAAAGTCCATTTTATAATAATAAAGAACATCGTACTTTTTTTGCTCGACCTTTTGCTCGTTGTTTACCTAAAAGTTCGGAACGAGTTTCATCAGTTAATTCATAATGTTTCAGTAATATTGGTAAGCTAACTGAATGTTTGCATCAATATAACTTCGTACCAGTTGGACATGTACATGATTTGAGTGGAGAAAATAGCAAGCGGGATGTAGATGTAGGTGTAAGGAGAGAGTCTACTCGCGCATCCATACCCACACCCACACCCTTGATTAGCTTTATCGAGTGTGTGGAGAATATTCAAAAGTTCATATTCTTTGTTTGGCATTTTATGGTTCTTCACAGAAATGTGTATTGTTATAATTCTCAAACTTGTCGTATATATACAGCGTTACTCGTTTGCGTACCATAATTTACAAAAAGGAATGAGATTATACAATTTGAGTTGAGCTTGTCACAACTTAGCATCTGTTTATACCCGAATAATAGTTTGATTCTTTTAAAATAGAATTGATGTATCTCTTTAATATTTTTTTTTCATTTGATGCTCAATTGTCTTATTTTCAATGTTCTTTTCGCACTTAAGTAATTTGGTGCTCATTTGTCTTATTGTTTGATGCTCTTTTCACCTATAACTAATTAGATGCTCAATTGTCTTTTCTTTTGGTACTCAAAAGATATTTTTTCCTCCATTATATGCTCTTGATATAAGATCAACAGTCTAACTCTTATCTTTTTATTGCATTATTAGTTCTCTTGCAAATATATGCAATAATTATATTAGAAAAAGAAAAATTCTGCATATCGTTACTATTCTATTGAGAAATAAAATATTAAAAAGTTGTCTCTTTTTACTAATGATTACGCCAAAGAATAATTTCAATTCTTCTTTTCAATTATACAGTCAGTTATGGTATAATTATAATTGTATTTTTCATTCAATCATCCTATCAGATTATCCAAACGATGATCTCTAAATAGATGCAAGTCAATCATTGGATACAAATAAAACTAGTTCATTTGATCGATCATTCTCAAACGCTACATCTATTATTATTTAAAATCGACTTCTTCGGTATTTCCTTTATTCAACAACTATTGATTATTATATATATATATATATATATATATATATTATAATAATCTTCTCTAAAGTAAACTATTAATTCATGAAAATTCTATTGCTATTCTCTTTTAAATTTTCGTTTATTTCATATATTATATAAAAAAA